CCTATGAAATCAATAAGGTATGCTTTGAAAAGCAGGGTCTTATGTGAGAGAGCTGCTAGTGTCCTTTTCAATCCATGTTTGAGTTCAAAAAGTCAGACGATAAGGATGGCTGACTTACAAATAAGAAAATTTTCAGTTATAACCTATAATGATTAAGTTGATGTGATCAATACAATATAACTGAGCTTTCCTCTTATTATTATTATTATTATTTTCCATTTAGAATGCATAAAGACTTAAAATTAATTCTGCTATGGAAATTCTAATTATTCGTTCCAAGTAATTATAGAAGGAGATATTACTTTAACTATTTTAGTGAAATATTAAATAATGTATTGAATATTTGTATTTAATATGGAAACTTATAATTAATTATTGTCTTTATTAATAATTATTTTTATTTTAAAAATCCTTACAAATGATTGAAATAATATTTTCTCTCCTATTCGATTTTCTCTTAAATTTTCTTTTGCAAATAAAGATCATAAGTTATTTTGATTTATTAAAATAAGTCAATAAACAAATTAGAAGCCAAAATTGTACAAAACATACTTATATGAATCCATCCAAATAGGATAAATCAAAACTATATTTTAGGAATGTACCTGAAATGATTATCAATAAATATTTCAGGTACATATTAATTTAGCGAGTTCAAAATAAGAAACGAAAGGCTTAAATTTGATTAAGCAGAACAAGTACAATAATGATTGAATAGAAAGAAAGATTGACTAAGCTTCTGAATAGTTTATTATTTCTACAATAATTAATATATAAAGCAAGATTCGATAAATTTAAAGAGACTTAATTTAAATAGCCCAAGGATGGGACCTCAGTGAGCTAAAAGCTGAGCGATTCCCCACCGTAGGCCTTGTAATTGTTAGTAAGCAATGTCAGAAAGTCATCTCTACAGGTGACACTAAAGTTTAATCAAATGATTAATTTTTCTTCATTTATTATTATTATTAGACCAAACCTCTCGGTTAAAAAAAGACTAAAATCAGTTATTGAAAAAGTTATTAAGTGTAAGGAAGATAATTTTCATGGAAGGGAATTAATATGTCAGTTAAAATCATCTATAAATTTAAAATAGTGATGATGTTTCAGTGCAAGATACATTTGGAATAAGAAGATATTTGTTGCTATTTTATTATAAAGGCAACTAGGTTTATTTATTACTAGAATTCTTGGGCAAGATACTTATATATTTTAGCATTAAATATAAACTCACTTAGAAATAAGTTTTTCAACAATTTGATGTTTATGGGTTATTAAAATATTTTTGAAATGATGAAATCGGGATCAATATTGTAAAATTCATTATATTAAGTAAGGTAAGTTCATAAATTATAATGTTATGGATTTTTCATAATCTTATATAAAATTGTTTCTAATTAATTTAATATTTGAGATTTTAAATCAAAAAGAGGAATATATAAAATTCTATCAAACAATAGTCAACGGAAATAAAACTAATAATTTTTTTTATTAGAGTAGGATAATTGAAGTTCAGTAAAATAAAGATATTTAATTTATAATATTTGATAATAATAATGCAAAGTTAAATTAGAAATATAAGATAAAATTGATAGCAAGATAATTATAGCTCTCCTCATTTTCCACTTATACATATTCTATTAAGAGCATAAAATATATTTTGGTACCTTAAAATAAGTAAGGACTCAACTTTTAAGCTTAAGAGATTCCTCATTAAAGGAGATTATTCTAAATTTTATTTATCAAAGTATTAACTTTTACAACTCATTCTTAATTTGCCGGGTTTTGGATCATAAGTCATCATTATATGAGATTGCTTTTCAATACTTATTTTTATTTTCAACAAATTTAACTTCCTTTAGAAACAATGACTTAAAAATAATCATATGAACATGAAAATATTTCATTTTCTATTCTTTCTGTTTAATTTTTCATTCTGTGATGAATTAATTTCTCTTTCTTTAATTCTTATTCATGATTACAACATTCCTGATATTAATTTGAAATATTCTCTTTTATTCTATTGTCTTATAGGGTTACAATTTTTTTAGACTTTTTATCAACAATTTCTTCATTTTCTCCATTTAACAAACTATATACAGTTTAATAGTTATGATTATTTTAAGATGATTGATATATTTCCTATTTTCTATTATAGTTATTCCATATCTTATTCTTAGAAATCTAAATATTTAAGTTCTCTTAAAATATTTCTCAAGAAAATTAAATTTACTTCTTCTTCTAACATTTATTCAATAAAATTTTCTTTTAATCAAATTTGATCAGCCTCTACTTCATCTCTTCCAAAACCAATTGAATTAATACCTTTGAACCTTTTTAATTTATTTAATTATTCATAAAATTATAGTATTCACAGTATATTAAAGTAACTTGCCTGAATAGTCTTCAAAGATTGATTCATCTTTTTCATATTCACGGGAAGATCTATAATTAAACAAATAATGATGAACATTACATAAATATTTGTATCATTCTAATCTAGGATTGTTATAGACATTTTACAAATATCCTTTAACATAAATTTTAATATCGTAAGTTATTCTTTATATTTATTAATCTGTTAAATTAATTTATAATTATGTTATTTTCAATTCATAGACAATTATTTATGTGTTAAATGTAAATAGATATTTATCATTAGTATTTAAATATATTTAAGTGTTTGTTATTAATTACATTATAGCCAATAGAGAGGTCTTAATAGTATTTATAAAGAGTAAGATACAGTTCTGATTAAATTAGGAAAAGGTCATAATTCAAATCAATTTTGATTGTTTAATATCAATATTGAAATAATTTTATTAAAGGATAAAAAAAGTTACTTAAACATCCTAAGTATTCTTGTGCACTAATCTTTCCTATAATATAGTTATCAGAGTAATTAACCACAATTAAATCACATTTAGAATAAACTTAATAGTTATAATAAAATTGAAAATTATCAGCATAAAATGTTAATTTTTAAATTGAGATGAGAATAATGCTATGATGGATATATTTTGAGAATATTAGGTATAGATTAGGAAAGTTTTTGATTCAGTATAAATTCCTTGCTTTTATGATTTAATAGGCTTATTTGCTTAGATTGAATAAACGATTTTGAAACTAGAATTCATTAGTTATAATAATTAAAATTATTCTTCAGCAAAACAATCAGGTAAGACATCTATATCAGCAAAAATAATGAAATTTTTGTTCAATTATAACTACTTATCCATACTGTTAAATATTTAATTTTTGTCCATTTGTATAGTATTACATCATTTTCTTTAGTTATTGTTGCAAAATGAGTTTGATTAAATGATACTGATATAAATTCTATTTTATTGATTCTAATAAAATGGTAAATAAAATTGTTATCTATAAAATATTCATCATCGTAATTAATACCATGTGCATATAATCCATGGCTCATAAGATATTCAAGATACTCTCCATTCGTTAGGTATTAAGTCTTGTCTTCGTAATTCTAATAGCAACTTTGTACGAAAAGGTTTAAAATGAAAAATATCGATATAATTTTCTATTATTATTAGTATTCAAAAAGAATATTAACCTAATTAAGACAAAAATTTTCTCAAAATACATTAACAAATAATAAGATTTTGGTTATACCTAAACCTATATTACTTACATGTTAGATCAAATAATAAAATCCAAAATACCTGCAATTTCTTAATGTTATTTTGAAAATTTTTCACTAATATTATTGTTACTAAGTTATGAAATTCATTTAAATAGAATAATGGACTAATTATGAGTTTTTTAAAATAATATCTGATTTCGAATATTGATTTGTGAAGAACTAAATAGTTTAGAAAGCATGAATTATTGGCAGGAATTCTTGATCTTATATTAGAAAGGGATACAAATTACAGATTAGAAATGGCTGTTATCACTAAAATTATCTCTAGATGAGGCCATTTAGCTGTCTTAATATTAATTATGTTATTTGTTTCCCTATAAATATTATTTGTATTTATATTAATTAAATGTATAATATTTAAATAACCTAATAAACTTTCTTTATATTAACAACATTAATTCATGTTTTATAATAGATAAGTGTTGCAACAAGAGATTTTATAATAATATTTATAATAATATTTATTATTATAAATTATCACAATGAATTTTGATATTATATACTTCTCACTTTGAATAGGGGCAAATCTAGAGGATTTTTATTTCTTAATTTCAAAAATTTCTACCATCTAATCAACTCTTTTTCTGTTCCCTATAATTTATATAAAGTTTAATATATATAAATGATGTTATAATTTTCTAGATTAATGTAATGAGCTTAATCAAACAGACTTTCTTATAAATTATTATCTTTCTTTAGCTTGGGCTGGGCTTCTTAGACTTAATGGAATCCTATCTATATTTTGCTCCATGTTACTCTCCATAGCAATTTACCACTTCTTCGATTGCTTTAAATTACTTTGCACTGACGTTAACATCGAAACCAAAGTCCTAAGATAATATTTACTATTTTTTACCATATACTCACAAATCTTATAGTTATAGTTTTTTTCTTATTCTCTAAGCGTGATCCACAAGAATACTTCTAAATAACTGAATATTGCCCAACTCCTCTTTTATCATATAAATCACATTATTCAGCATAATGCTCCATATTAGCTACAAAAAACAAGAATTGTCACTTTTCACCCAACCTAAGCAATTTTCTTCCAAATTTAAACATTTACTGCGAATAAACTAGTTCCATTTTAAGCTTTAATGAATTGGCAAACATAGTTTTTAATATAAATTTCAAACTTCATGGATTACAACTTCACCTCCAAAATTTAAAGGAAACGACATGATTTGAATTTACTTTTATTAGATAGATAAAACTAATATTAATCCATTCCTAAGAAAATGCAATTTATTTATGTAAATTATATTTTAACCAACTTAAATTGAAATAAGTCTGTAAGTTCTTAAAATAACAATAATCCAGATTAAGTATTTTCAATTATCAAATTACTTTCTTGTTCATTCTATATAAGTATTTAAAATTACATAAAATCTCCATAAATAAAGTCTTATTTGGTATAATTTGAAAATAAGTTGAGGGGTGCTTAACTATTTGGGGCATTTGAAATACAATTAAAAAATAAAGTGAAATCTTCAACAGTTTATTACTGACAACTATAGCTTTTTAATTATATAGCAACAATGATGTATGATATTATCAAACCATTTATCTGAATTTTATTTAAGTGATCTAGTTAATTATATTTTATTTACATTGATTTTGATGCAATTTGAACAGTACATTACTTATGATACTACTTGATATTTTTTAATTTTGAATTGATACTATCAAAGCATTACTAATTTGCAATTCAGATTCTAAGATTATCATCAATTTCAATATTTTATAAAACAGCATTACTTGCTTAATTAATATAAAATAAGGCTCTATTATTTATTATTGTTATTTATCTGATTTTGAAAGTTTGGCATATTAAAATTACAACTAACACAAACTATATATTTATTTAAATAACTTGTAAAATATTCTTTTGTATTTTAGACAAAAATTCAATTCAGTTTAATAATTTGTTAAATTTAGGTAGTATAGGAGAAGATTACATATAAAATAAATCCAAGTTTAGAAAATATATTTTGAATATTTTTTAAATGCTAAAATGTAATAGCCTCTTTAAGAGAATCTGATAGGATGTAAATGAATTTTCCTTATTCTTTAGCTATGATATTTTCGATTGATAATTAATTAAAAGAAACTTCAAGAAACTATGCTGAGATACTGTCTAAATAGATGACTCCTCCAAATCCTAAATCTGAAGAGAAAGTGGTAGAGATATTCTTCAATGATGTTTGTGATCTAGAAATAATACTGTTTTTTTAAGCTTTAATTTATTAGATCCTCTAGAGGATCACATAAATTATTCGAAATTACAAAATGAAATTTCTGAATTTCCTACTAATAATTTAAAGATTTAACTTGGAATAATTAGTTTATTTGTTCATAATTAATAGGAAATTAAATAAAGTTTAATCATTCTTTTTCATATTATAAAAATCCCTACCAATAAATTAGGTTAGATTAATTAATAATCAAAATAACTATTCTAATATAATGTAAAATTAATAAAAAACTATTTATTGACTTTTAATGTAGATAATAGTATCAGTGCCATTGTAAACAGTATTCTTTAATAAATTTGAATTTGTAATTTTTATGACTCCCAAATAATAATTTAGATTTAAAAATAAAGAAGAAATTTATAGGCTTTATATTTATATATGATAGTTCTAAACTTGTTTATTAAACAGAATCTAAAAAGATAATAGCAGTTTAATATTTTGAATTTGATAATAATAATAAATTTGATTCTATAACTAAATTAGAAAAATGAATCCTTTCAAATTGTTATAATTTCACCTAATCAGATGACTTATAATATAAAATAGGACAGTGATATGATTTAAGCAAATTTAATTTGCATATAATTATCTCGGAATTAAGTACTGAAGTAGCATAGAGTGATTACAAGTAATATTCACCTAAAACTTATTGGAATTGGCAATCAAAATATTAATGTAGTCCCAGAAATTTATAATTTTCACTTTAAGTTATTCTGCTATACTTTCTTAATTAGAATATTCATATTATTATCAAACTCTAACTATAAAGCCTATTCTTAATAATTTTGCCTCAAAAATACTGATATCTATTAATCCAATTCCTCGAATTATATCCAACTCTGATATTTCTATATGATCAAAGGAAATATAAATAAAACAGAAGTTATAAGTGTTTAATTTAAAATCCTTAATAATAAATGATACATAATTCTTTGATTTCATAATTGTATTAATATAGATATTTGGATACTCATTGTTATATTTATTTAAAAAAGAATAATTTATTTGTTTGATGATATTCATTCTGTTTAATGATTACATTTGATATTTTCTGATAAGATAATGAATTTGATTATTATTATTAAAAATTACAAGTGTAGAATTTTAGATTAATGAATTTGTATTAGCTGATCTATAGAAATCATCTCTATGGCCATCAAATTTATTTATTTATTATCTTGTCTTAGCATCTCAAAAATGATAGATAAATCACAACTACCAAATGCTAATTTATTATAATAAGGAGAAAAAAATACTGATCTAACATAATCCTTATGACCATATAATTTTAATTTCTGTTGTCCTGTCTTGAAATCCCATAAAAAAATAGAGTTATCTGCACTCTACGAGATGCTATTGTTGTACCATCAGGAGAAAAGCTTACAGAATAAACTGAACCACAATGACATTTTAATATCTGTAGTTCTTGAAGTTTTAAATTTTTCCATTTCCAATTAAACAATAATTTCCCATTCGAATTCATTCCCCTTATATCCGCATTATTTAATTCGGACCCACCACTAATGAACTATTTTAACTCTTAATATTTTGAAAACATTAATGAGTTAAAACAACCTTCATTAGAAATAATATGTAAAGTGAATTAAATCCACTTTATAAGAATTAGATATCTATTGCTGTTAGAAGAACTAAAAAAATTAAAAATTCGATAAATCTTCTTATCATCTATTATTTTTTTAATTAAATTTTGTCTAGCTTCTAAATAGATTTCAGTTAATTAGTTATTAAAATCATGATCTTTAATTATTAGTAATTATCTTGATACCTATTGGACTACAATTAAATTCTCTATTTGTGAAATTTAATATTTATACATTTGATTATCATCAATTGAAAGATATTCTACATTATTTGAAATTTTTTCTTTTTTTCTGCATTTCAATAATCCTACTAAATATTTGTTTATCATCAATATCAATCTTTACACTATTAATATAAGTAAAATTAGTTTTTACATATAATTAAATGAATTATTTATCATAGCACTTAAACACATTGACATAAATTTAGAATATTTTTTCATTTTGCATTAATTAAATTTAATGTTTCTTTTTTGAGGTTTAGGACAAAATCAATCTTCATATTACATTTACGGTTCTGTTTAAATTTTCCAGTAACTATTCCTTTCAAGTAATTAAGCAAGAATTAGCCATATTCTCATAAAATGATATGAAGAGACTATTTAACTTTCAGTTTAATGTTGTGTCAATTATAAGATCTAAAAGTAAATTTATATTTTGACACAATTTTAAATTAGCCAACTGTGTAAATTGATTAATAGGATATTAGTTATCCTTTTAAAAAATTTCATTTTCAATAGACAATAAGGATATTATTCAATTTTTTAATTAAATACGGAATAATAAAAAAGCATTATAACATGTGAAAAGGTAATAGTTAATTTTAATATTATGCTCATATCATATAGATGCTAATACCAAATATTTAAATAGTTTTTCATTTCATTCTGATAAATACATCATTTATGAAGAGTTGAAATGAATATATTAGAATTCGATGGCTAGATGCTTTTTGTTGTATTACTAATTATTTGATTAAAAAGATTAATTAGTAAGACATGATCTATATAACGAAGTTAATCAGGAATAATAATAATATTTTCTGGTTAATTTATGATAAATTATCATAAGGCATTTTTTGGAAACAATATTTAAAGTACAGACTATATTTTATTGGAAAAAAGAAAAGTCGAGTGATTTGTTTTATAAGAGACTATTTTAAATAAATGGATAGCAACGGAATATAGTAAATTAAAGTCAAATATTAATGTAATAAATTGATTCATTTTTAGCATAATGTTTTCGAGAAATTACAATTTTATGAAACTTTTAAGATATCATGAAAAGATATAGTATTTTTTATAAAATAGAGCTTCAATAAGAATCTGTTTGGTTAGAACAAATTGTAATGTTAAGTTAAACCCTCTAAAATAAAGATTAAAAAAAAAGAAAAAAACTCTTTATTTTGAAAAATTCGCAATTACAGCACTTGGGATAATGGATCAAAAGGAAGTCTTAATTAGAAAGTATTAAGAATTATGAAAATTATAATAAAAAAATTATAAAATATTAAAAAATATTTAAAGTTTATTTAGTGTTTTTTATTATAATTTATATTATAAAACTTCTAGATTTAGGGAAATATTAGATATTAGGGACTTTTCCAATTTGATTTTATTAAAAAAAATATTGAAGGAATCAAAATAAAAAGTATTAACTTTCTTCTTCTTTTAATTTCTCAAGATTAATAACAAAATTTCTGTTCTATGGTAACAAAAAATATTATGGTAATAGTTGAGATGATGTTTTAGACAAAAAAATACTAAATGGTCTTTATTATTATACAAATATTATTGATGATTAAATTGTCACCGAATAAAATTATCATAACAAGAACTGTGCTTTTTGATTGTCTGGAATTAAATCTACTCTCATCTTAAAGGGGCTGCATCTAGTCACATATATCCAGGACATTATTCACCAAAGATAGTATATTGGATCTAGAATTTAATGAGTGAAAAATTGATAAGAAATTAATGTTATTATAAATCAATTATTCTTTGTAGAGTTAAAAATTACTTCCAAGTAAAGAGAGTGTTACTTAATATTAGATTGTACAATAGTATGATTAAGATTACATAAATTTTATGGAGTATTAAAGATTTAATCCTTAAAATAAGAATTAGTTTTGAAAAAAATAAATGATTCAGATATCTTAATCATCTTTGGTCATATATTGATCTAATTAATTTTAATAGTTGTGAATTATTTCAGATATCTAATCTGTTGATTTAATTATAAGTATTGATAAACTAAAATTAAATTAGAGCATATTGTAATTATTAGAGCATTAAAATTACATGATTTATTGAAAAGAAAAAATTAAATAATTATATTTCACATTTATATGAATTAATTTAGTTCCATATTCATTTAATTTTCAAATTAAAGAAAAGAAAAAATGATAAAAAGCATACTTAAAGAGGGAGGAAGAAATATGGATATAATAATTGTAAATGCTTGAGAATAGAAATAATAATATTATTTAAATATTTCTTACTAATTTTATCAAATCTCTTTAAATCTCAAATGTATCCCTAATATCATAATATTTCCAATCCACCTCCATTTAAACATTAAACTGAAAAATCTTTAGTTTTTTACATTTCTATGATGTTAACAAATAATTCACTTAATATTTTCTTTTGATTAATTCAATAATTAAGGATAATTAGCAATTTTTTTAAGAGGGTTATTTATAACAAAATTTTGGAGACACTTAGATGCTATTCAATTCAATAAATTTTATTTAGAATATAAATTAAATGGGGGTATGAAAAAAATAAAGTAAATCAATCTATTTTGGATGAGATTCTATTCTAATTAATCTTATAGGGTATGAATACAATAACAAAGGATGAAAGAATAAGGATTTGATTATACTTATCTTTAAAGGATAATATATGAAATAATCTTAATATTAGTTACCCCCATTATTTTTTTTACAATTTTTATTGATTTAAATAAAAATATTGACATAATATATATAAATATAAAATGTATGGTAAATTTTGCATTTAAGTAAGAATATTAGTCTAAGTAATTGTGATGCAGAAGAGGTAAAATAACTGAAATTCATTCAAATGTAGGTCAATAAAAAAGAATTTTTGATATGTTATAAACAATTATTTATGTAAAACAAGCAACCTTAATTATCGAAAATGTTAGGACGATTAGATGATATTTTATACTTTCTTATTTATTATGATGATTTTTATTATTATTTTTTTTAATTCTATTCTGCATATTAATCGATCTATATTTATGTGCTGCTACATTGAATTACTTTATTAATTTGCCAATAAATTATTTTTTTGTTATATATAGCCCTTAAATCTTAAAATGGAATAAATTATATATCTTTTATAATTTTATTTATTATAATTTTCACCTGTTTCTTCTTCCATAAGCATTAAATAAAATTTCAAATATTCTTACTAATAGTTATAACATAAGACCATTAAGCAACAAAGATCCAATCAAGTAATCATTGGTATCCAAATTAAATCTCTTAATATATTTAAAAAATTCTTACTTCTTAACTCAAAATTAATCTTGTTTCGAATATCAAATAAAATCCGTAACTTAAAATGACTATTAAACATACAAATTTAGCCCATAAAGGGTAATAATGATATGTTAACATCCAAATAAATATTAAAGGTAGGGATATGCCAAGAATTACAACGGTACCAACTATAAAATATGGAATGATTTTAACCTTGCCAAGAAATATCTCTTTTTTATAAAAATGCATAAAGGATTAATGAAATTATTATTAGATAAGTAATCCCCCAAGTTATCCAAACAGCTATTGGTAATAGTTTCAATGCCCAAAAAATGTTTATAGTTGTAAATGTAAATCCAAAAAATACTATTTAAAATATAGATACGATGTAATTTACAGGAGCCTATAGTTTACTTTTATTACTTTTACATTTCTTACTAAATCTCCTTTGAAGTATAGTATGAATTACAATATTATTGAAATAAATAAAGAAACATAGAATAACCATGAAGGCTCAACACCTAAAAAACAGTGTTCTACATTTGTTTCTTCATCATAAAAACAATAAAAATCATAAGGTTTGAGAAGCCAAGTTGCCATTCCTGTGTAAATTCCAAAGCCAAACATCAACAAGTTATAAAGGAACTCAAAAAATAAAAAGTTGTATAAATTCTTTAAAAATACAACTCTTATTTAAGGATCCTAAAATATACCTTAATCTAAGAAAATATTAAGTTGAATACTTTAAAATTGATTAATTTTCTAAGTTTTTCCATCTTATGTTTCAAATGACTATAGGTTTAGGTATTATGGCTAATCGTTCTGATTTACCTAATAATTGTTGATGTTATTGTTCATTAATATGCAGATAATTATAATATTAAGTCATTGCATTTGGGATCAAGGTCTTAAATCATAAAATACAGAGTATAAAAAACCATTCTATATTTTTTTTTAATCAAAATATTTACGTCATTTAATTATTATAAACCTAAATAAGTAACAAATATGACAAGAAAATAATTCTTTTTAATATTAATAAATGTAACTGAAATTCGGTATGTTAGCATGCATAACCTGTATCAAAGAAAATCCTATACGAAATATAAGGTTAAAAGAAGTAAATAGAAAATAATATATCATTTATAAAAAAATAACAATATCCATTATGATTACATTCAATTCCATCTAATCCAATTTAAAGGTTATGTAAGCATATTATCTATAATTGTGTGAGATTTTATGATTATTAAAAGCTCCAAACTTAAAGATAAAAATTGAAATGATAAAGTTATAGTCCAAAAAGAAATTTTTGGCTATTTCAAATTCCTTCTTAAATTTCATATTTAATCTTACAACAATTAAATTGAATATATTAATTTATAAGCTTAGATCATTTCGCCTAACAAATACATTCACAATTAATAAGGGGAATAAGTTCTGAAGGCTTCAGTGATTTTGGACTAATTATTAAATCTCTTAAATTAGCACTAGGAAAATATATTTCTTGACTATTAATTGGCAATATCCTTAATTAATCTATGATTGTAACATGATGCATTATATTTCTGCATTTGGATTGGTATCAATTTAATATTTATATCTTTAAAAAATTACACAAAAAAATTAGTTAATTATGATTGATTAATAAGTTGGAATTCATATTGAAAATGATAATTTTTATTTCAGATGGTTGTTTTTATAAAATTTATAGATGGAAATGAATTAATATTATGATCCTGAATATTATATCTGATTGATAATGAATTAGTTTATTATAAGAATAATCTACTCTATTATTCAATAAGCAAACAAATCCTAACAAGAACTTATCATGAAAAATAGCTAAAAAATAATTATAATATTAAAATTTACAATAAATTATATTTTGTTTTCTTTATACAGATTCTCTTAAATTTACTATACAGAGAATTACATTATATTTTATAAATACCTATTATTTCAACGTTTTTGCAATCATTTAAATCTAATAAAATCATCCTGTTAAAATTTTTAATGAAGATGACTTTAAAATACTTATGCTGCAAAATAGATTAATATACATTTTTATAATAAATTTTATATACTTTTTATGTGATCTCATTTAAGTTCAATTGCACATGCTCAGAAAAAGATGATTCAAATTCTTGAATTACTGAATGTGTTTTTGTGAGAAATATTTATAAAGTCAAATTAATGAATATTATTTTCTTTTTAGTATATCCAATTCTTTCTAATTTTACAAGTATTATTGCATCCAACATTATTCTGCAGATTTCTATCATCACATTTTCTAATGTTAAATGAAGTTTCCATCCTCATAAATATTATGAAATTATATATCAAAATAAAGCAAATTCATTTTTAAATTACTTAACTGGAGGTTTAATGCTCACTTTTTCTGTCTTCTCTAGTATTAATCTATAAATTATATCCACATTAATCACTAGATTAATTACTCTTAAAGATTATGAAACTATCTACGAATTACAGGAAGCCAATAATAAATAGTTACTTATATATAATGAATAGTCTTAACATTACTTGCTTTTCTCTAAGAGAGTTGCTAAAGATGAAAAAAAAAAAATTAAAATTGGTTTATAAAGTTTATTCTTTGCATAAGTATCTACAAGATGGCATTTATTCATATAAATATTAACATAATTAATCAAATTATGTTTGTTTGCCATTACAATAGCTAGAATATATATAGTTATTCAAACAAGCAATATCCATATAGAACTTAAAACCTGCATTTTAAATGATATATCTAAGCATTCAGCGTTAGTTTATGCCGTAAATATATTGCAATATAAATTTATTATTTATTTATATAATTGCAATAGTATCATAGATCTTAACAAGTTTTTTGTAATATTATTATATGTGAATTCATCATATTCCTAGGTGCAATGGAAAGAATCCTTTATTTGAAAAATGATATCTTCATCCTTATTAATACATTTTAGTTATTTATCATCTTTTTTTACAAAATCTTTTTCTGATGAACTGATAACAACCAGCCTTCGTTGGTTCACAATTATCAGTACTAGAAGAAGAAACAACTGTGCATTTAGGATTCCATGCAAAACACTCTTAATGAATACCATACAAATTATTATTTGGAGAAAATGAGCAAAATGGAATCATCATGATGTTTGCATCCATAAACATGATAATTAAAAATAAAATTATTAAACCAATTGTTACATTCAATATAATTAGTGTATTTAATTTAGGAGTATCTGGAGATACTATTTCCAATGAATAAATTATTAATCTGTATGCTCATACAATCAGAATCAGTCAAACAACACTATATTCATCTTATAGATTGAATTAATACTGTTATTTATTTATCTATCATTTTATTATAAATAGTTGTCCATTTTGAAAATTTAACTCTTGCTATCCTATAATTAAAGAATAAGAAAGCAAGATAATAATTAATACACTATGGTCTATTTATTTAGAACCCTTAATATCAAAAATTGAATTAATGAACACTTTCCTTATTTTATTAAAGTATTTAGAAGTTATTAAATAATTCTTTCAATTTTGTTGAGTTATCCAAATATTTATATAATTTTAATACTTACATAAATTATTTATTATTAAGAACATCATTTTAAACAATTTTAATTACTTTTAAATTCCACTATAAAATATGCTTGAAAATTATTATAATTTATCACCTATATTAAATAATTATGAAATTTTAGAATTATTTATCAACCACCTTTTCATTAATTGTTTTTTGCACTTGAAAATTTAATTGAATTAATATCATTCAAATGTATTATTTAATTTTTAAAAATTATAATAATCAAATAAAACATTTACATTTCCTCTTATTTCCTTAGAAGCTTGCTTTGTTACCAGCAGATATCTTTCCAAATCTTCATTATTATTCAAATTTGCTCTTTCATAAATTTTGAATAGAAGTACATTTTGTCTTTGACTTAAATTTTGTTCAAACCAGGTATTCATCTATATTTGAACAATTTATCTACAGAAGTTTTTAAGTTATTTATCCTTTTAGGTTAAGGAGGTCGTAAAAATTAATATTTTTTACATCATCTTTAGTAAATGAAATAATCTCATTTCATCAAATCCTTACCCATTTGACCTTATTGTTAATATTATTATTCTATTCTCATATTATCAAAATTGAAAAATCTTCTAGATAAGTGAGAGGAGAAATAGAAAAAATATTATATTAATTTCAAACTAGATAATGAAAACCACTATTAAAGTAATAGCATCATTCATTTTCTTTGCTGTTTGATATAAATTATTTACCTATCTTCATATAGAACTTGCCTTCATTTTAATAATTTTGTTCAATTATTATTAATATGTTTATTATATTTGCATAACATATAATATTATATTTATAATGAGTATTAAGTAGGTTCACTCAAAAAAGGAAAAGGAAGAATAAAATGAATATGAGTTTATAAAAATTTATTATTAAGAATTCAAATAATTTTAACTTAACTTTTTCAATAAATTTAAATTCTCTAATTAATAAAAAAATATAAACAATTTATCAATCAAAGTTGTTAGAAAATTATTCCATTTTAAAGAAAAAGGCAAAAGAGTATTACAAACTTAATAATATGCCTTATGAGATATCAAGAATGTAATTTATTTTTTAACAAAACTTTGGAGATATGGTATTAATCAAGTCGTTAAATGTGTGGAAATTTAGATGAAAATCAATTCTAAGCAAAAAAGTATCAAATTTATTATCTATTGAACGAGATGAATCGATCAATTTAGATGCATAAAAGTATATTATAGAACCATTAGAATTATTAATAATTTCGAATATAAATGAGATAAAAGAGAATAAAATGATATAATTTATAAAAGTTTAACTCAATATTTTTGTTAATAAAATTAAAATAATAATCTTTATTATAAAAATTTCAAAATATTTAGCAATAAAAATCTAATTTTTTTATAATTAAAACAACAATGCTTATGTATTTTATTTCAGAATTCTAAATTGATCATGAAAGCCTTCAAAAAAGAGAAAGATTGGCGGATGAAAGAAACTGAATCCAATTTATAAATCATTAACATAAAACAGGATAGAGTTATTTTCATATATAGGAAGCTTTTTATTTAAAACCTACTAACTAGATTCGATCCTATATCTTTAAAAAAGAAATTAAAACTAAAATATAAGTATGATTACTATTGGATTAGCCATATGGATATTTCTATATGTAAGAACTTCAAATATCATTTTTTTTTCTTGGCAATGTTATCATTTATTTAGAGTAGATTATTTTTCTATAATGAAAAATTCTTCAACTTGAAAATAATTTAACAAAAATATTTTCATTAATTTTATAATTCATAAATTGAATATCCATTATTTTTAAAATCCCAAAAAACCAAATGTTATCCATTATCTGTTTTTATCCCATAAATATTTGATGTATAACAATTCAATTAATTTACTATTTTAAAGTATCTATTATTAATATCTCTAATTAAATAAATATATGATTTATGTCTTACTAATATTAAGTTCCTCTATATATTATATATGATTGGAAAGAAATATTCATCATAATCCTAATTATTATTCATTAATTCAATTGACTTATTTTAGTTCTCTTTATATATGCCTTCAATTAATTCAAAAAAATATATCACATCTATTCCTTAATCACATGTTATCCAAATAAATGAATTTTCAGTAATAAAACTAACCTTTAACCCATAATTAATAATTGATTATTTATTTATTTCTTTTCTTTCCCA